AACTTACAATCATGGTGGAAGGTGAAAGAGAAGCAGGCACCTTCTTTACAAGGTAGCAAGAAGGAGAATGAGCACAGTTGGGACTACCAAACACTTACAAAACCATCAGATCTCGTGAGAACTATCACAAGAACAGCATGGGCCCCCCATGATTTCAATTACCTCCACCTGGTCTCTCCCTTGAAATGTCAAGATTGTGGGGATTACATTCAAGATAAGATTTTTAGGTAGGGACACAGCCAAACTGTATCATTTGTGTAACCTCCAAACCTAACTCCATCCCAAGCTTTGGAGACAGGAGTCAGGGATTAAGAGAAGAGAAATTAGTCCCAAGCCTTTACCTTACCTGTGGAATAAGGGCTGATCTGACATGAAGACACCTGCTTCAGAATGTTATTTTTAAAAAGCTTCCCTGAGTGCCTTGTTCAAATGGCACCCTGAAAGGAGTAACATATTTAAGTCATTACTTCAGAATGCATCCCTCAGAATGGGCCACATCTTTTCCCCATCATATCAGGGGAGGGATGAAAAATTGCACCCTCAAATTATAGTAGAGGTGGGGGTTGGAGTGGCAAAAGAAGTCTGGGTCTGAGGTGCTGTTCCTAAAGCTTAAGGATTATTCGAGGTGAGGGAGCTAGAGGGCGCTGCATACAAGACAGTAAGAAAGAGATGTTTTCCTAAAATTAGGTTGGTTTGATGGAGAAGCAGGAAAGTACAGAAGGGAATCCATGGACTGTAGGTCTCATTCTTCCGCTTCCTAGCTGGGATGCCAGGGCAAATTGCTGAACCTCTTGGCCTCTTCATGCTGTGTTTAATGAAGGGATTGAACTAAATGAAGTTCGAGTTCCTTCTGGTAATAAGAAGAGGGTATGGGCATATGGTGGGATGATTTTAAGTCTAAATGCATGCTTTCATGTATCCTGGGCAGCTCCTTAGCTTGCATGTTTCCTTGGCTCCCTCTGGAGCCTTGTCTGACCCCGCCTACTGTGAAAGCTGCCTCCTGGGTGAACTACCTGGGTTTTAACTCTCCAGAGAGGTGGATGATTCCTGGAGGCTGTGAGACTGGGTCAGCCTCCAGTGGCCACAGGCCAATAGGCACAACAGGGTGAAGTCTAGGCTGTGGCCAGTAAGCAGGTGTGTTCTCTGAGATACTTATAGAGCTTGCTTCTCAATCCACTCTGTGAATTCAAGTTACTTGAGGCATTATATATATACATGGTGATGTCTGTATGTCAGTTACAAGTAATTTCTGATGTTCGATTTGTCTATAATGATCCATATAGTTAGCTATTTTTCATCATTTTCATTTCATAAATGAGGAAGCTCAGAAAAAAATTAGCTTTTCTCAAAGTTTAGAAATTTAGATAGACTTTGTTACAGAGAAAAATTTGGTACAAGTCTGTAACGGGCTTTTATCCAAGAAGTGGGTTAGAGAGAGAGAATGGATTTCAGAATAAGAGGATCTCAATTACTAATGTCCTATGGCACAGGGTGTAGTGGAGTGAGCTTTAGAGCTAGAATTAAGACTCCAGGCCTGTCATATGCTAGAGGAGGAAATGTGGGCAAGTTAATGCTCATTCTCATTTTCCACATCTAAGAAATAATATGCCAGAGTATTAAGTAATATAAAATAGTGCAGAGCTGCCTGACATGGTACATTATTCCCTTTCATACTACCTTGAACATGTGGATAGAAATAAAGAATCTCTCAGTAACTGTTTCCTATTTTCCTCTATGTGATTTTTAACAAATTTGGTTTCTACCTCCAACCTGACTAGAAATGGGCTAGTCAGGGTTCTTCTCTTTCAGTCAAAGGCTTAATTGGGGGTAGAGGAATCTACTTGAAATTAAACCATGTAAAAGGAAATCTTTCTCATCTGCAGTCTAGCTGATAGGAGGACTACATATTCAGAGGGCAAAACATTGGCCTGGTGATACAGAGGCAATCTACCTTTTCTAGGCTGACTGGCCCTGGGAGTTTTGCCCAGCGTGAGTGGCCTGGCATGGAGGTTTACTTAGCACGCTTGATTAAGCCTGGCCCTGGCTGGGAGGACTACATTTCATCCAATACTGAAATCACTTGAAATTCCCCTCATTCATCCAAAGATACAGAAAAGAAGTAACTCATGGTATTGCTGAGAAAAGAACTTTATTAGTTAGCCATTCTTGCATCTTTTGTTTTCTGTGTGTTGAAACCAGATTGATACAAACAATATCTTCTATGTTAAAAATCATAAACACATGGATTTTATCTCACATCCAGACATTTCATCAAACTACCAAATTATCTTATTCTGTCTTTATCTGTGGTCCTCAGAGTTCAACGCAAGCCAAGAAATAAAGTTTTTTTTTTTAATCACTCTTCGCTTTTTGAATGCACCCACACACAGAGGGCTCATTCTTGGGTGGGTCTGATGCTTGCGGTGGAAGTGGGATGAGGCAGGAGGCCAAACCATTCTTTTTAAGGAATGTCCTGACCTAAACACATTAGTATCACACACACACACACACACACACACACACACACACACACACACACGCCTCGAAAGGCAGAGAAATCAACTGAAGTGCAATCCAAATTCTACTTCCCCCCTCCTTTCCTCTTTACCAATCCCCTTTACATCCTGGTGGAGGTCTTTCTGCTTCCTGTGTCTCTGTTTCACCCCTTAACAGAGATGCTCAGGTATCTCATGAAGAGCTGAGGTTTCACAAACAAAATTCAATCTAAATAACTTTTTAGATATGTATTCCTGAAATATTTACTAGTCCTCTCCCTGTCTGACAAGTGATCACAACAATGAGTCAACCTTTGGGCATTAATCCACAGCAGCCTGAAATAACAGCAATACCAGAGCTATGACTTTATACTTTCCATTTGTATTAAAACACTCACGTCACTTAAACCTGATTATCTTAATGCTAATTTTATTCTATGCTTGGCCTTCAAGTTGTGCTAATTTGCAAGCCTTTTCCAAATCATTCTTACATGAATGCAAGAAAAATTTATCAATTCTCATCCATGCAATTCCTTGACTCAGGAAAACGGAATCTCTCTACCCACAGAGAGGACTTTACAGAAGGTCCTCTCTGAAAATAGATGGAAGAAATTGTTTTTACAAAATTGAGTTAGGTCTAGATACTAAGTCTACATACCTTAAACTATAACTCAATATATATAGTTTGACCATACAAGACTTCCCAGTGATCTTATCTATATCAGATCTAAGAACCAAGAGAATAAAACCTAATGAACAAAATCTTCTTGGGGTTCTATATCCTTAAAAAAACATAATTCCATAGTGTCATCATTATCCTCTTCTGTACTATAAGACACACACCTAGAATAAGTCCACTGTTAAGTCCCTTATTCTATTTGATTTATCCATTTCAAGGAAACATAATGCAACGTCTACACATTCAGATCTCATATACGCTGGTTTTTGTTGCATGGTCTACTGCTCACTCCCCTTTATCTAAGAGTTTTACCCACACTTCTTTCGGGTGCATATTGTATGCTTCTTCAAAGACAAATACACAGATTTTTTTGCAAAGTGCTGAGAATGCACTTGGTAAAGACTTGGTAATTCTGTGACTTACACATTTTTTCTATCTCCTCCCATCCAATGGTCAGTACTTGCACCTTTTCTGGACGTTCTGCCACTTCAAATCCACCTCTTACACATACATATTCCTTCATATGCAACTCATGAGAGCTTAAGCCAAGCTCCACTGAGTTCTAAAATGTCTGCAGATGTCTGCTGGTATATCTGCTGAACATAAAACACTTGGAGAGGGGACGCTTCTTTTTCAAAAACTTTTTTTTGGTGCGGGGAGTATGGGGAGAACATCTTTTTTTTATTTAAAAAATTTCAAAATGTATTTTTACCTGCATATAATTTTAGATCCTGCAAATTCATAATCAGTTATTTCCCATTAAGAAGTTTTAGACATATTTCTCCATTGAACGAAAGTACTCCAGATAGCTCTAACCGTTGCACATTAATAAGCAGAAACTTAATAATTTGAGAATGCTGCTGTTAAGCAGAAGAAATGATTAAGACAAAGCTTGAATGGAGTAAGACTATACATTCAGTGGGGAACTATATACCTGTACCCAAATTACAAATGACTAACTCTTCCCTTGTCTCAGGACTTTTATTTTGTACCCAACCAGTATAGAGTATTTTGTAGTTTTGTATCGAGACATAATTCCTACCTCCTCCAGGAAACTGCTTTGGGCCCCCGTTAATTTTCTTCTTTTAACTTCCTAACAAACCTGGGACTTACAAGTCTGTGTGTGTGTGTGTGTGTGTGTGTGTGTGTGTGTGCACAGAATCTCTGGCATATCCAGTGAGAAGAGTGGGCCTCACCCGCTCCTGTGTATGTGTGCGTGTGTGTGTGTGTGTGTGTATACACAGAATCTCTGGCATCTCCAGTGAGAAGAGTGGGTCTCACCCTTTCCTCATGACAAACTCCAGAGAATGTGAAGTGAAGGAGTTCTGTGACTTTTTAACTTGAGTAGTATTCCATTCACTATCCACAAATGCTTGGGTTACACTGTCTGCATCACTGGTTACAGTAACAGTGTACGTGTATGTATACACACACAAAATCGTATTTCCAAAATGCATACTAGAAAACAGGGCCTCACTTTCCCTGAACTGTTGCAATGCCTAGCCCAGAGTACTCTGGTAATAGTTACTTCGTGGAGTTTGTACACATACCATGTAAGGATACAAGCCAAGTTACCCATCCCCACTTCATGAAGCCTAAGGGAGCTAGTCCTGACTCACGGCTCATTTAAGAAAACAGAAGCCTCAATTAATTAAACTAACTTGGGCCCCCAATCCATAATCTTGAGTTTTAATTGATAAGTATAAAATAAATTACACACTTGAAAATGTTTGGATTCACATTATACCACCAGGTACACAGCCACACTTAACAACTTTTCACACTATGTGTGGTTCTTACAAGAAATTAAAAGCAGAGCCTGATTCTTTGTTGTGCAGCACAAAGGCTTTGCTGTATAGTTTCAGTGTCTCTGGCATCTCCAGCAGAAACAGAGTTGGCCTCACCCTCTCCTCATGACTAAGTTTTTGAGGTGAAAATACGGTGACTTGAGGATTCCACTCCATGTCCATAAATGCTTGGGTTACACTGCCTGCATTACTAATTATAGTAAAAGTGAGGTAACTTGGTATAAACCGTGCCTAACCCAATATTCAAGAACACTTAGTGGGAACTTTAAAACCAGGCTGTATTACTAAGCAGCCCCAGCTTTCAAGGTTCAGAAGTTTGGTGGGCCTAATCATTTTCCAAAGTGGAATCTTAACATCTCCAGCTGCCCTCCTCACTGCCAAGTATGAACAACAAATCCTGACTTTAACGCTAAAATTTGCAACTGACTTCTGAGGACATATAATGGCAGCTGTTTTCCAGCAATGGGAATAGATTACATGGATGCATCTTCCAACATCCTGTCACAAAGAGGCGCAGTGATTCATAATTAAGCCTCTAAAGTGAAAGGCACACAGGCTTTACAAGAATGATCTGTGTTCAAACTTAGTGCGTCACTTGTTAGCTGGGTGAGCTTAACCAAATCTCTGTGAGCCTGTTTTCTCATCTTCCAAATGGGAGTACCACCACCTCCCTCACAAGGTTGTAAAAGCTGTACATAATAAAGACCCTTGGCATATTGCCTCAATATAGTAGATAAAAGTTAGCTATTATTTTTATTCTTTAAACGTTTAAATTGGCTAGAGTCTTGATTTTAAATTGAGTCTTCTCAGATGAGCCATCCAGAACTTGAATTAACATATGTATATTCTGTCTGTAAGGCTGTTACATGTCTGTAGAGGTTACTTAGTGTTACAAGTTAGAACCCTGAAGTGGAAGGACATTATCCCTGCTCCCACCCTCCTACACCTACAGCACGTACAGACACCCACCTCAGAATAAACTTGTATGCACATTTGTGCATGTCTCCAACCCTACTTAATGAAAATGCCTGCAGTCCTTCAACAGGCTACAGGTGGTCAGGGAAAAAAGAAGAAAAAAAAAATGCCTGTAGTCTTAATCATTTTCGGAAATTTGAGATGGGAAAGTGAGGCCCCAGGGAACTATGTATATTCCATCAGAAAAGAAAGCAAGGAAGAGAGAAGAGACCAACTGCTACATTTTCTTCTCCTTAGCAATATAATGGCTCCCACGTGCTGGGATCCCAGTCTGATGAGAAGATATGACACGAAGGTCATGGATAGACCTCACTGTCCACTGTGAAAGCTCCTGTAGCACCTTTAGACCCCAAAGCTTCTTCTCAAAGAGACCACCATCTCCAACACCAACAGGCATCCCATCAGCCTCACTGGGGGGAATCTTGTATTCCAGGAGTACCATTAACTCCTCTATCTGGTAAGCAAAGGCAGCAACTTGGAGAAGAAGGGTATGTATTGCTTGATGGAAGTCACCTTCAGTTGGGGTAAAATGCACCTGCTGGTCTTCTAAAAGCCTGGCCAACAAAACATGGAAGACACGATAAGCTTGAAGATTCTCTTGGAGTCGCTCTGCCTCGGTCAGCTCACTCCACTGATCAGTGCTTGCCATTGGCACCCCATCCACAGAGTCCAGGTTGATGTTCTTGTTCAGGCCCTGATGCTTCACCTGGCCGAGGATATAGGAAAACACCACATCTTCTGTAATCATCCCAATGTCCTTCAATCACCCCTACATTTCATAGAAAATCTCACTCACCTCTCTGGCCAAGGATCCAAGTTGTAAAGTAAATAATATGCCTACAGTAGTAACTCTAATTTGGGCTCTGTGACTGGGCTTTAGAAAGACCCAATACTCCCTGAAATTGAGTACCTATGCATTTTTCTTGGAAGAATGTTCAGATTTCACTAAGTTCTAATGGTTGAAAACTACTGATTTAGAAGAATATTTCCTTCTCACTTCAAACTCTCTTGGAAACTGGAATATTTTAATCATATTAAATTATTTTTAAACATACTTGTAGACGCTTGCCACAACTTGGAAGCCCTGGAATATAGCCATTGTAGAATTTATCTAACTTCCCTCTCTCCATTGTGCACTCCCAAAGAGTTTGATTTCTGTCTGGTTAGGCTATACAAAGATGAATCAGTTCTCAGCCTAAATTCAGAACTCTCCACAGGGGCTGAAGTATTTCCACAGCAGATCTTAAGTGGAGACTGATGGGGATCTCCCTACTATTAGAAAACCAACCCGGAACTCCAGTTAGCTCAAGAATTCAACACTTCCACAAGTCTCCAATGAATCTTCTAGATCTTTTTGATAGCTTACCTTTCTCTTTAGACACACTCTACTTTTGAAGCAGAATACTAAAAGGTAGGTGGCTACATAGAAGTTGGTAGGATTTAGCAATTCCCCCAAGTTCATAGTACTCTTCCTCCATATCCTATAAACTTTTCATTTGCAGGGCTAAAAAATTCAGAACAATGGCTACAAAGAATCCAAACTCAAGAGGGCCCATGGCTAATCTGTTTTAGTGGTGTTCAGAATACATGCAAACAAATTTAAAATAGCCTCCAAGACACATAAGCCAATTCTATCTAGAACCCCATATATCTTTTCTCATTCAAGTAACGTACCTCCTCAACAGCCTGGAAGAAGAAAATAAGGTCACCTGGGTTTTCTCAAGGAAAGGGCCTATGTCAAATAACCTCTATGAATGATTACATGATGAGAGCTTTCACAATTGGTAACGGAGCTGCCACATGATGGTAAGTTGCTGGATCAGAAAATATGAAGGAAAACAGACAAGAGCAAAACAGGCAACTTACATAAGATTCCGTAAGAGCAGCCAGGTCTGAACGAATCTTCCTTGCTAGCCAGATAGAGCGGCTACAGAGGTCCCGACGGTGAGGGGTCAGTGGTGAATGCTCTGCAAAAGCCATCCCCTAATTTAACTGTCCCAGGAAACAAGTTAACTGGGTTTACTTCTGTCTACACTGGTCCAAATAAGAAATGTGACTCTCACAGACTAAACCCACTAGGCATTCTCTACTAACAGGATTGTGCACCCCACCCCCACGCGGGCCTGACTCAGAGGTGGTAGCAAATTCCTGGCTGTGGAATTTTCGTGCCTGTGGAATCAAAGGGCCCTTTTTAATCAGTCTTTTTTTCCCCCTGCAGCATCTGCCTCCATCTCTCTCCTCCACTCAGTACTTAGCACAGTTGTTTCTACGTCATTGTTTTGCTTTTGCACTTAGCAACAAGGTCACTATCATAATAATCCTAGTGGCACCCCTGCCTAATGTAATCTATCTCATACACACTTAGAATCAGTTAATTTTATCACCCTTCCTTATCCTCCCCTTATTGTTTTTTTGTAGGCTGGCGAAGGGGTCATTCAATAAAATTATTATTATTGATATAGCTGCCATTTATTAAGCATCTACCATGGGTCTAGACACTGTGCTAAATGCTTTAAAGCAATCCCATTTGATCTTCAGAGTAATTCTGAGGTAAATGCCATTTCTCTCATATAAGAAACTGAAACTTCAAGAAATAACATGCACAAAATCCAACAACGAGGTTTGAATTTAAATGGAAGCCTTTGATTCTACAGTTGTTTCTCCCACTGACTTTCCAACTTTATTTTCTGTATAGGCAGTTCACATTTCGTTCAAGAAACAAAGGTTGTGTGAAATAAGTCCTTTAAAAACACAGCAGTTTTTCAAGGCCATTCTTAAGTATTTTTTAAAGGTAATTTAATTTATACTTAAAAATCAAGCAAAGGAGCATCTCTAATTTCAACCATGGTGCCTTCCTGGTAGCTACATAGGAGGAAGGTACTGTTTGGGCCTGTTCTCTTCCAAAGGACAGGAAACACCCAACGCTAACTTGGTAACACTTCTAAAGCAGTCTAACTCAAGTGACAACATGCTTTCCTTTTTTCTTCTTTACCCAGTCCTATCACATGGTTCTTAAGAGAACTGGGCTTTGAAATGACGATAAAAAAATTAAAAGGTATTTGGAGAGCTGTCAGTCTATAATGCATTTAACTTGGAGAATGACACTTATTGGGTAAGGGCTGAAAGTTTCATTCCTAAATGAATGAATTAGCTTTCATCATTTATATCACAGATATTGCCAATAAGCTGAAACATATACCATCTTAGAAGCAAAGTTACAAAAGTAAACGATAAATGGGAGATGTGAGAGGCAGCAGTTACAGTAGGACTTAGAAGGCAGAAGGATCATAGTTTTTCCTTTTTTTAAAAAATCAGTACTTGACACATTCATTCAGTTTTGAGAAAAAGTACTGATATCAAATGCTATCAAGGTTTTGTCACTATCAGGATAAAATTAACCTCACAGAATCCTTAATGTTCCATCTACTAGGTTAGTATGACCACTTTTCCTAGAAGGCAGTTGTCAAAACAGCAAGATTTCCAAGTTTACTGAATGATAACAGAATCATATATTTCATTTCAGCATTTTAAATCAAGAACTAAACAGTAAAACATTAACCACCTGATTCTCAACAAAAGCAAACAATAGTATGCCCCGCATAACACTTGTTCTGAGAGCATTTGGTTTGCTTAGCAGCATCATATGTTTCACCCCTAGGATAACTGTAACTAACTACAACCAAGGAAGACAAGTTGCTTCCATGAAGATCACTTTTATTTTTCTTTACATATTTATTTTTAATATACCTTACCTAGATTAAGAGAAAACAGAGATTTGAAAAGCAAAGTATCCCTTTTATTATAATTTCTTTTTACATAACCTTTTCGACCTATATTCAGGTAACTACCTGTCTCTCCCATGAAAGGAGAAGGGTCCTGCACATTACAACAGGCAAAAAAGGCTTTTAGGAAATAAAATATTTTAAATTGATCCATTACATTTGTTCAATTTTCTTGAGTACATTGGAAAGTGGAAAAAACACAAAAGGAGAAAAAAATGGTATTTCAAACAACCAGACTATAATAACCTTAGTTAGATTGATAGTATACTCTTTATACTTTTTCCCCAAAGAGGTACAAAGGAGGTTTAAGTGCTCTACGTGGATGCTTTTCTATACCTTAATATTTTTATTTTACTCCCAGTACTCCCATGGCCATGGCCAGTGTTTGGTCAAACTCTCTGAAGCATATCAAGGAGTCTCAATTATGCAAAAGAACCCTGGGCAACCACAAACAAGAGGGTAGACATCCCCAAAAATATTAAATAGTTTTATCTCAACTACAGTTTCAGAATTTAGAACTGCCAATTCAAGATGGAAATATGCAGTGGGAAGAGTTATTAAAAAGGTAACAAAATTTGACTAAGAGTATGAAATGTAGAACTTTAAGATTAAACGAGCTCCTTGGAAGGACAATGATGCATATGGAGCAGAAAGGAAAGCAGGAAAAGGGCTGAGATAGTTTAATTATACCAACTCTTTACTATGCAGCATCCCTTTATCAAAAGGAAAAATATGAAGTCCATAAAAAATATTTTAGTATTGCAAACTGCTGCAATAATTCATTGTACACAAATGGTAGCTATGAAGAAGGCCCTTGTCCCCTAAAAGAAAAGGAAAAGTACGGCAAGTTTCTAATTAGTAGAACTAGTTGTTTTTTTTGTGGGGAGGGGAGAGTGGTATAGGAAAGAAGAATACATTTTTTCCCATCTCAGAAAGATCTCAAAAAATGCGGTTTGCTTTGTGTAGGTGGCTAAAATATCTGATGACTAACCACTGCAAATGAAACTTAAGGAGACAAAGGATAAGTGCGACAAAGAAAAAAGCTAAGAGTGGACTATAAATGCTAGCTAGTCAAACAGTATAAAAGGGATTGGAGATCAGGACAACGTTTTTGTAGACTCATCCAATCAATCTTGTATTTTCAAATCTACTCAATATACCAAAGTCAATTCCAAAGCCTTACTGTTGGCAGGTAAGCATATTCTACATCCCTTCTATCTTTATTCCATTTTCTATTCCCATATTGGAGAAATGGCAAATCTGCAACACTCTGAAAAGAAACAATAGAGCATTTCAGACTGCTGATTGTAGGTGTTTCACTCCCTATTTCCTGGCATCCCAACTGCCGACACTAGTGGGTGTAAAGTAAGCCTCTTTCAGAAATGACATTTTGTTAATCCTCTTTTTGGGAAAAAAAAGTATTTTAAAAAAATTGATAAACCATGTTTGTGAAAAACAAGCTGTTCTTTCCCCCCTACCCCCCGGAAAAACTTCATTTTTTCCAATAGCCATCATGCATTTCTGACAATAAACAATGAACAGGGTAAGCCTTCAATTCCAGCTTCTGAGGCACACAGGATAGGAACTGCCCTTTACCTAAAAATGAGCCAAAATAGGATTTTGGGCTTCTGGGGGTAAGACTTTGTATAAAAACACTAGCTTTTCTCTCCAGTGAACAGCAATAAGCAATCCATGCCCCAACAAAATCTCTATTCCAAGGAAATTATGATTCCCAGAATTTTAGGTGAAAGCCAAAGCAGTTATTATATAGCAGTATTAACTTTGGCTATTAAAATTTTTCCTCTTCTTAAGTGTTACTGAAGGGGAAACAGAACAGTTTCCTTTGACTTAAAACTTTAGGACTCACAGGCTTCACTAACAGCAGTGTCCTTCACTAACTGGGAGCCAGAATGAACTGATGATAAAGCAAAGCAAAAAAAACAAAAAGCAAGGAGCCAGAGTTGGGCCAATGAGGGAAATATAAGGAAATGGTAGGGATAACAAAAGAGACAAATTAACAAGAATCTTCTATCTGTAATTTAGATTCTGAACAACCCTCCTCATCCTCTAGAAATTCCTAAGTCTTAATGCTCTAAATATCTCAAAGAGCATACTAGTTACCACAAACCTAACATTCTTCCCTAAAAAGGCTTCCAAAAAAGCACTAGGCTATTGTAGTGATTTTGTTAGTGCTGAGGACCAGCTTTCTTTAAAGGCCACTGGAAAGCTATGATTTCAGAGGCTGGCTGTGCTTCTTCAACCCTATGTCTTGCCTTCAAAGTACCTGTTATGGAAGGGATCCCACGTCAAAATTATCTAATCTCTCTCTCTCCCAGCCCCACAAAATATAGCAACAAAGACTCAAAAAAAAAAAAAAAAAAAAAATCAGACTTTCTGTTAATAAATAAGGAATCTCAGGTTCCACAACACAAAAACACACATGTTCAAAGTGCAAATTTCCGCCATTAGCCTGGGACTTTTCTCATTGTCTCACTGATACAGAGCCCTGTCTTACAGTCAAAGAGACTGTGTAGAGGGCAGCCCCCTCCCTATTGGGAGCCTGCTTCCAGCAAGTGAGCACCATTGAGAGCCATATGGAGGGTTGGGAGGGGGGACTGAGATGCTGGGATCAAAGAGGAGAGAGGTGGTCCCCACATATATCCTTCCTTTCAGAAACCCAGTGGGGGAAAAGGAAGAGGGGATGAGAGATGTGTGCTGTTTTAACAGCTCACCCTGCTAAGGGGCCCTAAAGTGCCAAGTCAAGCTGCCAGCCTCTGGAGATTAGAATTCTATGGTATTTGAAAATGTGTGCCGCAATGGGAAGGAGCCAGAACCACAGGGCAGCAGTAGAGAAGGAGAAGGGATTTAGAAGACAGTAATATACTATTAAAAGCTGATCCAGAGCACATCAGAGTTACAGGTTGGAAGGGGGATCTGCCAAGGAGCAGTAAGTCTGCTGATGGCTGGAACTGAGTATGAGAATAACCCTCACTTTAAGAGCTGCTGCTGCTTCTTTTTTGTCTACCTTTCTGGTAAAGACAACATGAATTTTATAAGGGGGGCAATAGAGGGAGAACAGGGAATGGGGGTTGGAGGGTGTATGTATGTGTGTGCTGTGATCCACAATGGAAAGAGCAGGCCCTTCGGTTATTTTACTAGATTTTAAATGCTTTAGATTTTTTTTTTGTCCTTTTTAACTTTTAAATACAAAGTCTGAGCTGTTCTATGCCCAAAGTCTTCCTTTCCACTAAGGTCCAGTAGAGTCTGAATCTTCAATCAGAACCTCTGTGGTAGCACCGAGTATGTCTGAGTTCATGACCAGCCCTTCAGTGCCCCCACTGCTGCCGCTTCCCACAAAGATCTTCCCATCAGCCATCAGGCTCACCCGTTCCGTCCCACTGCAATATGACTTTGACATCCCTTCAGCTTCTAGCAGTAGGCACTCTCCAGAGGTTGAGTTTCCCAAGGGCTCAGGAAGAAGAGGAAGACCCTGACCATCTGAAGCCTGTGTCAGGGACTCTGGGTTAGTGCCCAAGATATCTGTGCTGGTGATAAGGGCGCCTGCATTGGCAGCCAGAGCTTCTGCAATCAGCACCTCAGGGTGGCTTTTTGCTTTGTGTGCCACTACGCTGTCCTTCTTCTCAAATTTTTTGCCACAGATATTGCAAGAAAACTGGTAGAAGGAGTC